GTTGCCATGTTTAAAAAAAACATTTATTAACGTTTCGTCCGTCTTTGGTTATCAAATACAGAACCCTAAAAGATTGTAATTGTTAATTACCCGACCGCCAGTACTTCATTGTCGATCTGCCTAATTGTATCGCGTGCGTGATAGAGCTTATCCACATACAAATTTGCGTAATCTTTTGATACTTCATACATCTTGAACGATAATAATTTCATAATATAACAGCTTTGTGTGCTTACTCGGTCGTCGACCAATTAAAATATCAAACCAAGTGACCGTGAACCTTATTTTTAATTACTGGGAGTCTCGTGTTCGTGAATAATGAATCCTTGATCATCTTCACTTACACTGTCATAATTTTTTAAATAAATCTTGAACTTGCCAATATATTTTTTTTAAAGACAGGACATCTTGTTGCATTACTTAGACAAGACAAGGTCAAGGTGAAGATATTAGATCCACAGAGCTTTCCTTTTTTATTATAATACTTGTGAATTTATTATCAAACTGATAAGAGTTTTTAATTACAGATTGCAGTTTGTTTTTTATTGAATATAGATGAAAAGAATCTTTATATTTTGTGACGGTTACTACTCGTACGTTATTACAAGCTTTTATTTAACTTGCATTGTTAGTATGTTAGTGCGCAAATCTTGGAACTTTAATTTGACCCACGTCCCAATGTCCGATAGGTTTGAAATTTTGCATAGATATGGAAGTCTGATGACAATGCAATATTATAGTGTAAGTAATCTGATATGATAATAAAGTCTGAGGGTGGTTGTAGGAACTTAGTGATGAAATGACGCAACTGCATTGTGTTTGACCTCATTAGATTCGGTTTTATAACGGGCTTTGGTACTGGATATTTTCCAGACCAAGGTCTGGTGATGATGGAGCTGGAAGTTGGTCATAGGAACTTAGCAATGAAATAACGAAACTGCATCGTGTTTGGGTTCTTTAGATCCATCTTTATGAGAACAACAACATATTGAGACAAAACTAGCACGTAACAGTATGTGTATTTCTTCGCCTCCGATTTCATTGTCGCCGCAAGCTTTTCAACTCTTGCTTTCCTTGCACAAAATTATTATTTACGTTTTAGTGCGCACAAATAAAAGTTTGTTTTTAAAATAACAGTAAAGTAAGTATAGTAACAGTAGATTATATAAATAATAAACCCCCTTATAAAATTACGAAATACTTATTTATATTAACCTGAAAAACGAAGTACTTTGAAGACCTGTACTTTGAGAACCTAAATAAATCGTCACACAATAGATATATAATAAATAATGGACTTTTTAAATATATCAAAGTAAGAAGTAGCTAAGTAAAATATATTGAATATTTACTAAGTTATTTTAGTTTGCACCCCTTTTCCTGATTTTCATTTAGTTCTATCCATCCAAAGGTTGTCTGGTAGAGATCGCTCTGAGTTGACCCAATGCAGATTGAAGAGTATTAACGAATGTAAATGCAGACGGGACCAATGGCTTAACCTTCCGAAGCATGGGATAGCTCGAGATAATAATAATTGGTCACCCATCCCGTGACCGACCCTTGCGAAAGTTCATTAACAACAACGTTCGCGAGCCGAGGCGATTATCCACTACGCCACCTTAATTAACTTAATAAAACAATAATTTTTTTATGTTTGAGTAATATAAATGTTATTGTTTTATTTAATTAATAAGGTAAAATTGTAATTTTGTATGGCGGCCCTTCTTCCTGGTAGTGATCCTTTCCATAACAGTCGGTGAAAGCTAACTGTGGGCACAATCTGCCATTCCCAGATCATGATGAGGAAATGACTCACATAAGTTGTGTCTTTATGATCTTACGCGTTCTTCAAATCTTGATTCTATACCGCGTCATGACTTAAGCAAATCATACACAATGTGGAAAGTAGGTTATGTACGTCTATTATCATGAATACAATACAATTAAATTGATCTCAAAAACTATTTACATATATTTAATATTTTTATTACTATCGCGTAATGTCGTACTAAAATTCAAATTAGCTAATTTAAATACTTTGCATTATATTTAATTCTTGTTTTCATAAAAAAAAAATATTCTTAATGTTCAATGATTGTTTATTATAAAATTGCAGATTATATATAATCGCGTATTAGCATGATTATAAGCAAATCATAAATAACACTCCGTAATATATCATAATATATAATTTCTAGGCCTATTGTGTATAGGCTAATATATACATGCCATTAATGAATATAGATTTCGCAACATCTATCAGTTTTGTATAAGAAGAATGAATGAAATTGGTTTGAACCCTTTTTTATTATCAACTAAATTGTCTGGCAATTTTATTTTTCGAAATAAAGATTTAAATGATAACCTATCACTATAAAAGTATGATATAAAAATAAAACCACTTATTCGATTTCAATAAAAAAATATATGGGATCACATAGGGCCTATAGGCCATAAGCGATCTAATAAATTGATAAAAGTCGCTGAACATACATCGCCGTCTAACATGGAACCATCTCCTTTTCGATTTTGGATTCGGTTAAATTAAGTAAATCCGCGAACATTTACAATGTTAAAAAGTATATTAAAATTTTCCGCAGTTATCGTAATTAAATAAAATATGGATGCTTATGTAGAATATTAAACAAGGAGATGTAAAAGATTATTTTGAAAGAGCATTCGCCTTTCGGCCTTCCATCCTGATATTTATGACTTTGTTACTTAGTTTATTGTAGGTAAATATTTTAACAAATTATGGATTTTTATATATAGGTTGCTATTTATATGCCAATTTCTTTTTGCTAATCTTCCTTTAGTCTTCCCACCTAAAAACTATGACTTAATAAATTCTAATTAGGTATGTACAATTACCTCATAATGATCAAAGTCGTTAGTCATACATTATGAAAAAATTAGATACTTCTTCATGCAAATTGCAGATACGTATATATAATTAGTATGTATATCGGTCGGGCTCCTTCAACCATTAAAGTTTAGAAGTGTTTTATATTTAAGATATCATTCTCATGCATTCTGGTTGAACATTACAATTATTTTTAACAAATTAGCCTAATGTATATTAATACTCTGAATACCGAGAAAGACGTGACAAACATTTTGAAAGACCAAGCACTAAACGACGCTTAGTGAGTGGGTAAATAAATAAATAAATATAAGGCAACATTAAATGTATTGTTAAGATTCCAAGATAAGTAATACAGTGGGTATTAAGCAGTATCTAAGACAACTAAGGTCCGCTACACCCAGACGCGAGACAATGTAGCAAAGTCAATTTTCTAATTTGGGCCGACTCGAGGACATGCCACCTCAGGATCTTAGAGACGACAACTAGATTCTAGAACTAGATTATATATTTTTTAATACAACGTTATTTTAAAGATTTTAGAATGTAACCTCAAGTAACCGTCTGATTAAGAATTGATATTAGTTAAAATAAGTATTTTTTAACACTTCTGTCTAAAATACGTATATTATATACCTAATACTAACTGGGACTAAAGAACAATTATACCAAACCTGACCTGAAAACCTAACCCGGTTAGGTCAGGACCTTGAAAAAAATGTAGATATGAAATAGGTATTTTATTTCATCTTAGTATCGTAACGGAAGGCTGAAACACGTTTAGCAATATATCATTACAAAAAGTTTACATGAATATGCGTCGTAGGTATCTACTAGTTCTTGCGCCTTATCTGTAATATCACTTTAATGATGTCTTAAAATATTTCCTATGCGATATCCATTATATAATATGAAATACTCTGATGGTTCTGCTTAATGTATTCTCAACGATATGATATTATTGAAAAAAGCATAACAACGGTTTAGTTTTTAGGTATTTAAATACAAGGACAGGATGATTTTATCTTCCGGTTTTTTTTTTCAAAATATTTGCCAGCTCATGCGATTATACGTCTGTATCAATTATATTATTTATTTTTATAACAAAAACTCCCAATGGTCTGTAAGCTATAACATGTATTTTTTGTGTAGTACCCAAAATATAGTAGGGCCCGTTTTGTTTTAAATCTGAAGATTGCTTGGAAATAACATGTAATGAACTGATTAGTGATCGAGAAATAGAGGTTGTTGAAATTATTCTGGGGGCCAATTCTACTAAATAAATTTGGTTTAAATTGAATCGAAAACGGATCGAAACCGAACGAAACTACAGTTTTTAATGGTTTTCCTATTCTACAAAGTGACATAGGATACAATTCCAGTTCTATTTTAGCTAGAATTGTATATTTTTGTAAGTATGCCAGAAATAGGCTGAAAATACAAAGAAACTCTGTTTGAGCCCTTAACGATATTATATTAAAATTGGTATAAATATATTAAAAGTACACACCTCCTGTGCCATGATGCGTAGCGTGGATAAAACGGTAGTTTTTTTACATACTTTTTGATGTAGATGTGGACATAATAAATGTCTTAGGTATTTACCATAAAAACGGAAATCCAATTTTAAAATAAGATCCGATGTGGTTTTAGATTTCTTTACCATTTGTCAATACTGACAGCCTATTAAAAAAGCTTTTTTTATTTGTCATCTATTAAATTTGCCTTTCAAAACATCACATTATTCTATAATATAATAAACTCAAGAAAATCGTTTAGTTTTGTAACTAAGCTTGTGTTACCTGTGACAAAATTAACACTATTCTCCACATATTTATTTTATGACGTACGTTTGATTAAACCTAGAATGATGTAAATAAATAAAATCGGTATCTTTTCCGTTAATTTACAAAAGAGAATATTTTGATTGAATAATGTTAAAGTTTACAATCAGGTAAGGTCAAAGAGTTATCGCTTTGCACCTCGTACTCGTCTCACGTCATTACAACACGCAACGCTGCATTCTATGGAAGAAACAGCAATATTTTTGATATATACTATTATGTCATTGTCTACTTGAAGCCGGAAAATAAAAGATAAATTGAGCATGATAAAAAAAAACACGCATGATATTTATTTAAATTATTTTATATTTATTAACCTCGAAAATTCCTTCTATTGCTACAGGTCGATTTACAGTTCCCTTTTTTCTATCAGGATCACATCTACATTGTTTGATTTCAGGGCCAGAAGTGCTTTCCTTCTGTTGCTGAATCTTTTTAATAATATAAGCATTTTCAAGTTCTAATAAGTGTTTTTCGCGTTCTAAAGCTCTCTTGATCAAATCAGCTTTCGATAGGCGTTGCCAGAGTCTCGTCAAGCCACAAGTTGAAGATATAGCATTGCAAACCAAAGATTCGTCGGACTTCGACGGTTTTATGTTAGTTTTCACTTGCACCGGCGAATGTGGCCCGTATGATCCGTAAGGTAAAACTTTTTCGCGTTGACTTTCAAATTTCCTACAAAGGGCCGCCATACGAAGGATCTTGTCACCTTTTTTAGCTGCAGACTCGAGCCATTCTATAGCACCATCAGTACATTTGACAAGTGTAATCATCTGATGCATATCAAGGGCGCATCCATTTATTAAACGTCTTTTAAGCTTGTGACAAGCCGCTCGGTGTCTGTTACGTCGATCCCTAAACACAGCTTGTTTCGTGCCTGATTCATATGCAGCTAGCTCTGTGCGAAGACGTTTAAGCATTCCGTCACTATTAGCGATTTTCTTACTTTGTGAAGCAATAATATCAGCCATTAAATTTTCTTTGCGACGCAATTTACGTACTTGCTTTTGATTGTCCGCAGTTTCAAGTATATAAGATTTTAGAACCGCTTTATACTCTTCCCAAACGGAGTTATATTTGTCCTCAAGAATAGACCTTAGATTTTCTCTTTCACTAGAATATTTATTAGTATCTTCATCTTGTTTCACCAGATTTTCTCCTCGGTTTGACCACGCTAAATTATCTGCAGTAGTATGTGCATGGTACAGAAGTAGTTGTAAGTGTGTCTCAGCTGTATTATGGTCTGACATTATGCGAGCTGCGTCATCTTCACCTTCTTTCAATAACTCGGCTGTCCTTCGGTCATTATCCTTAGACAACTCGTCTAAATCAGATAAGAATTTGATAATCATGTTATCGATTGTATCGCAAAAACTTGCAACTGTACGTTGAAATTGGTCATCGGCCGTGTCCATTAGTTTCATTGTATGTTTTATGAGATGATCTTTTTTGTCATAGACCCGCTCGAAGACGTGCCACATCACTTCAATATCTTGTTTAAACTCAGGTTCTTTAATTTTTAGCATCAGTTCACGCCATGTTTTATCTAATTCACCTTTTTTTTGAGCTTGTGCTGCTAATTCACGTTGTAGTTCCAGACGTTTTGCTGCCTTACGTGCTTCAGTTTCAGCTCTGAGTTTTTCAAGTCGCTTTGCCTCCTTTTTTGCTTTCTTTTCTTCTTTTGTTAAACCCATTACGTATATAAACTTGTTAAATATAAAAAATTAAGTACATTTGTAGATAAGGAAAATTGACTTTTTTAAGTGTCTTTTGTAATGTGTCACTTTTGTACCCAAAGATAATTTAAACACTAGCAAATATACTCTAAGAATAAAGGTTTTTCTTACTGTCCACAGACTAAGAAGAAAACACTATTACTATCATTTTGCTCATAATAGTCATACAGTTTAAATATCTTTATTTTTACTAGTTTTTGTTTTTTGTGTAAGTAAGCAAAAAGTTTTTATGTTTTAATAAGCTAGGAACAAAGGTTGTATTGATCGAAGGAACAAAGTAAATACAGCGCTGATTAAACGGTTGTTTTTCATGTCTGAGAAATCGTAATAATATCGCAAGGCCTGCATAAGTATCCCGCTTGATCAAAGGGACGATTAAGAATATCAGTAGTATATAAAAAGACTCGTTTATACGTGACAAATAAGCTTTTATTAAACACAAATGAAACGTCTTAGGTGTCATTTCTGTACGTGGTCACGGTAAACTGCACGCATCGCGATTTTTAATCGCGCGGATTATATTTCGCAACGACATTACACCTTGTCCATATTGCAATTAAAATTCCGCGCAATTTTTGTCAGTTTAATGTAGCTCCCGGTCGAGACGAACATCTAAAAAACTGGCCAAGTGCGAGTCGGTCGAAACGAGCAAAAAAAATCACATTTGTTGGATGGGAGCCCTCTTAAATATTTATTTTATTCTGGTTTTTAGTATTTGAGAAAATTTCAACTGTCTAACTTTCACGGTTCGTGAGATACAGCTTGGTGACAGACAGACAGCTAGATAGACAGTAATTGGGTTCCCGTTTTACTCTTTGGGTACGGAACCATAAAAATGAACTACATAACAATTTTTATTTGTTTTTTTCCGCAACCTCGTTTTCAATTGCTTATCATGGTAGTTTGCCTGAAATTTATCCCCATAGGGGAGGCTTATTTTAAATAGCATTACAAACATGTCAATACCAATTCATCATTTTCGGTGGCCGCCGAGTGAACGGGAGACGAACCGCGTAACTTTTTACCACCGCTAGTCGTGCATCAGACTGAGTAATCGCGAAATTCTGTATTAGTAAACGCGATTTTTTTCCACAAATGCGGATATTCCCATATCCAATGTGTTACAGAATTGCGATAATAAATTCGCGCGAAATAAAATCGCGATGTGATCAGTCCCTTAAGGGTGTATTTACATCGCGAGGCAGTTTGTGAATATAAACCTTTATGGCTCCATCCAATTATTTTTAGTCGATATGCCTACTTAAATAAATATTGAAATGCCAGTAAACGTTGAATTACGATACCATTTTTTTCTTTGTAAATATGGTCTCTTAATGATACTAAACAGCAGCAAAAAAATGTGCAGTCATTATAATATTAACTCTATATAAATAAAAAATAAATGCTGTGTTCATGGATCATACCGGTTTTAATAATGATGACTAAATATATTATGTATTTTAACAGGCCCGTTACCAAGCTCTGGTTGAAGGTACTGAACCATTACAAAGCTACTTGCATATGCGCCTAGCGGAAAATTTGAACAGTGAGGCCGCTCTTGGTACTGTAGGAGATGTGGCACAATGTGTACAATGGCTTCACTCTACATTCCTCTACGTTAGAGCGGCTAAAGACCCAAAAAGATACTTAGGTCTATCTCCAGCAGCTCCATATCACCAAATATCCAAGAAAATTGAAGGTATGCTCGTACAAATAATTCTCTTATTTCTAATATTTTATTGATGATTTACTGTATTTTTTTTTTTTCAATTTGATACCCAATCAAAAGTTTCATTAAAACACGCCTTTTGGAATCAGTATTTACCCGAGTGCAAAGGAAGGGTTATGTGTTTCTCTTGTATCATGTATGTATGTAATATTCTTTATTACCACAAATCTCTAGTACCGTTAAACGGATTTAGATAGTAATTCATGTATCGTTAGATTTGTCTTAGTAGCCCAAGTGTTGTTAGATAATAAAAATCAAATATGGCGGCAGTGTGACGCCATTATATTTAAAAAATTCTTTCGTTTCAAATACTAAAATACGGTTAACAAATTAAAGGGTTCAATACAAAGATTCCAAAAAGTTTTATATTATATAATTATATTAATAAAAAAAACAATGATAATGTTTAAAAATATGGACTCTGTACTTTTAATTTCTGATGAAACAGACAAATAAAATTATAATCAACAAAAAAAACGACGCGCTTCAAAATGAAAGAGAGAAAGAGAATCATTTTACTTAATTTTCATAATAAATACAATAATTCTCTCTTTGTGCATGCCTCTGACTGCATGTTATGTATGATGTTGCGTAATTTTTCTATCTTGTTCCAGCCTATTTAGTTAGTTGTTATTCACGCAGGCGGGTTTTTCTTTTTTCTTTTAATTATATATTTTTTGTACAAAGTGCCTTATATATTAAACGGATGGCGTACTTAGCTTTTGTTAGTCTATATATGGCTTCAATTAATAGACATCGCTTGCATTTATTAATGCCTTTATCCTTTATTATGTAAGGCTATTGATTTGCTTTATAGTTGCGATGATGACACGGATATTGCTAACGAGGCAGATGATTCAAATATCTGGATTAGTTTTTAATCACATATCATTGAAAAAAAAACTTCCTCGACGCTTCTATTAATTAATATTAATGTAGATTAATATAAATAAAATTTCAAAGAACTACCATATATGTATAGTGGAAGTAATTGAATTAATAAAGATTATCTTGACGTAGTTAAAGAGCGCTCATTGTGAATTCTTCTTCATTAAGATGCAATTCCACTGTTTCAAACAAAGTTGAATACCGCATTATAAATAATGTTCTTTAAGGTGACGATGTGACATCTAAATGGCTAAATACTTAATTGGGATTGTCGTTAACCGTTCATTCTGTAATGGTATTTAAATTCCAGTAGTACCAGAAACATTTAATGCACTAAAACAATATAAGCCGTGAACTTTTGTTAACCGTTGATTGATGTACTCAAGTTTACTGTGACGGGATAATTGTCGCTGTTATCTCCAATATCCTCGTGATTTTATCTGCGTTAGCCATAACTTGTTTAACTGCAACCACAGTATAATATTTTTAGCGATGACAACATTCAGTAACTATAAATTGTGAATTACAAGCTCCGCGACCTACGTTTAAGTACAAATCGGAAAACTTTCAGAGCGTTCTAAAAATCTTAAGTGTTGAAAGGTTTTATTTTATCAGATAATAATGATATAAGAAAAAGGAATATCTTTTTTAAATCTGTGCTATAAATAAAAAGATTTTTCATATTTCTCAATGTTTTAATGACACTTGATTTAGATTTTATTTAGCCACAGATATTATAATTGTTAATCGCCTAACTGTAACACGACATATAAGCATTGTGGTTTTATTTTACTACTTTGACATGTACTTAAATAACGAAGACTGAACGATAAAGAATGTGGATTTGATAAGTGTTTTCAGCTTAATCGTTTATTCTAAACGTATTCAGCAAAAGACATGTCAAAATAGTAAAATAAAACGAAATATCGTTATAATATTCGATAAGATGTATTATTTGGCTAGAGTTATGGCTAGAAAGTGAGTAAGTCGTACCTCTGGTCCTATTCTTTGCCATTCTGTTTCCACCAAATATTATAGGTAAGGCTTTTTACCCGACTGCTCGACGCAAAGGAGGGTAATGTGTTTATCAGTCTATGTATATATGTATGTTTGTTTCTATGTGGCGTTCTAGAAACCAAATGCCGATTTTGATACTTCTTACGTTTCAATATTAGTAGTATTATTTTTTCATTTCATTGTTTATTTACCATATTAACGTTATTATTTTTAACAGACTGTTTGTATGATGTCTTATAATTAAGTCATATAATTAATATTAATGTGATGTGCTCGGTTTTGTCACAAATTGAGTCCATTTTAGGAGTAATTTTAAAGAATTATAACCTTCATCGTCAAGTTAGTGAGCCACCATTACGTAAATCTTGACGTGAACCCCGCACTATCGAATGGCAATCACTTAGGTGTACGCGTTCTTTTCAAAAAACTTTGCTCTATACATTCAGTAATATTTTATATTAATAACCATACAATGCAATCTGATGGAATCCACTGTGCTCGCGCTCATCTTACACAATTGATTTGTTTACTTCTCACTTGTATATTTAAATACGTGTAATCAACTTAATTGCTTTAGTAACACACTGCAATTGTGCGTCTTTTTTATTTGAGAAAACGTTAAATATTACTCCTGATAAATAGTTTAAGAACAATAAACATAAATATAGAGCTTTGGCATTTTAACTGCTTGATAATTTGTTATTTATAAATATTATACGAGTGTCAGATTATCCTCTAGGCAAACAAATTCCCTTTGTAACGTGGCGATCCTAGACGTGAATTTGACTAAAAGTACTTGGTTATTGACCTACATCGCTCAAATGGATCATGGGATATTGACTTGCCGATCGTAACATGCAGTGCAAGAAAAGTAAAATTTGATAACTTTGTCTAATTAAAGTTCGTAGAGAAGGCCTGGAATACAATATCTTATAATTTTTTTGATAAATTATATAAATTTGTTGATTTCACTTCATTCCATAAGTTCTATTCAAGAAAATAACTTATAGCGTCTATTTGAAATAGATAAAATCGGTGCATTTACTGAACTTTAATGGCGATCTTTTGTATAATCAATAAGTGAATCCAGTTCATCGATATCACCAATAAGCGTCGCGCTGCTCACACGACCTCGCAAGTTCCGAATCATGTTTGATGGATAAGCTTTATAAACTAAGCGATGAGCTCTCGTCACCGAGCTTTACATTTACAGAGGCATGGGACACAACGTATGGTCCAATTTAGAGATGGTCGAACAAACCAGTCAAGTGTCTGTTATACCATACATTTTTAATTCGTAAATATTAAATTAATCCTCGTCTATATGTCAGGCTTTAATGTTTTGTGATAAAAAAGCAAGGGCTGTTTTTTATCACAAAATATCAATAATACACTTAAGTCATGATGTCGTGAACGGTGTTGGTGTACAATTTTATCTCATTTGTTTAATTATGTAGTATTAATGTTAATTGTATCACTGTTTGTTTACCTCTAAAAATAAATAAAAAAAATCTTAGGTAAAAGCAATTAAATTAAATTTCACAGGAGACCAGAATGAGATTGTAAACATATTTTGTACTACATTCTATCTGCCACATCTGAAGCTGAAGTAGAAAGCTTCTAACAAACGTCGAAGTTTTACGATATGAAGTATTATTATAGGGATGATGACTAATTTTTGTTTGTTTGTCCGTCACGTAGTGTTAAAAAATATTAAATACGTATTTTTGTATTTTTTTGTAATCATAAAATATCGGCGTTACATTGAGTTGAAATTTCGCATGACGTCACGTAGAGTACGTTTTCTACTCAACTGTGACGTAACGAGGCCCCACTCTTCAACTTTAATGCCTGTTATCTATAATATTTCTTGTTAAATTGAAGTAAAAAAATAAACGTATCTAATATTTTTCTATTACCTTACTGACGGACTAAATAGAATTGCATTTTTTTTACCCAGTCATCATCCCTATTGTCATAAAGTACATAAAACAAATTGTACGAGATATTATTTCAAATCTTCTCGTCAATGGATTGTTTAAATTGCTACTACCTTAGGACAGCAGCTTCGCCCGCGTCATTCATATAGAACTGTTAAGCGGTTTAATTCTGTGTGAATACTTTAATTATTTAATAATTAATTTGGATATCGATTCACATCATGACATGGATATAATTACAAGAACATATTTAATAGTAAACAGTGGTTGCGACGTTTTAATTCCCTATACAAACTCCCCTTTTCAACCCTTTATTTGCTCTTTTTTGGGATTATTTGACTTTATTTCTTATTTTTCAACCCTATATTATGTAGCTTCCCGTAGGTGAAAGAATTTTTATAATCGGTCCAGTAGTTTCGTAACCTATTCGTTGAAAACAAACAAACGAACCATCAAATATTTCCTCTTTATAATATAAGTATAGATAGATTAATACATCTTGTACCGAGTATTTATAGGGTTATTAAGTCAGACAAAAGTTGACCTTCGGTCGGACACTAAACGTCGCGCTTTTTACACGACCTTGTCAGTTGCTGAAGCTGATTGATTGATGAGCTGGGAAGGTACAAGCTCTTATCAATTCTTATCATCATTTGCAGATGCACGCAATGCGACGTCTGGCACAATCTAGTAATTATTAAATCGACCGTGAATTATCGATATGTATATTCTTTTCATCTATGTCTATTTAGATAATACCCAAAAGATTTTTTTTTTAATTTCTATTTTTATATTTGATGAAATTTGCGTTCACAATTCTATACTGATAATTAACTTTTATGGAAAACGGTAAGTGGATTTTTAAATCATCTTTCAGTAAAGAAAATTACTATTAGAGATATTCTTAATAAAAAATGCTTAAATAATCCACTTTGTCCTTGACACTCTCAGATGGGACTCGAACCATGAGTTACTCAGGACCTTAATAGGAATGACGAATTTTTCAAGCACTTGTTACTTTTCCGCTAAAGCATCTTTTATTAAGAATATATATCGGTATAGCATTGTGAATTCAAAATTGTTCAAATATAATACTGTTATAGATATTTGTAATTGTTGATGCAAAAAAAAATTCTATGATCTGGAAAATATTTATTTCACGCATATTAGATATAGTAAGATACTCGTATGTTTACGTTTAAATTTAAAAGAGAGAACCAATGTGATATTATATGATATGTGTTTTATAAAGCTTTACTGTTTACCGAATCTATTATTAAAAAACATTATGCAAATTGATTTCATTAGTTATTCCGTAAGATTTTCAGCCAGTTGCACAAATGTCCATTAAATTTTACATTAGTTTAAAGTGACATTACCCATACAAATTTGACATTCATTAGAGCTTAAAGGCGTCATTAAACCTTAATGGACGTTTGTGCAACTGACCGCATATCTCGTTTAATATTAGTCAAAAAAAAATTTTAAGGGCATTATAAATTGTTCATTCAATTCTCAAATATTTCTGTCATATATATATTGCTATTATCTTATTATATGAACCAGCTGCAAGCGATGGCCTTTCAATAAAGGTATTTCTGTCACCGTCATCACTGAAGTTCATTATAATGAATGTGTGATTGCTTTAAATAATAATAAACAACGTTTGAAACATCAACCGATAGGAATGCTTCATTACCTCACTCATCTTGACATCCTTATTGAATTTAACAATATTTATGTTAATAGAATAGAAACTTTATATAGATTAACTTAACGTTTAGTTTATCTTAAAGAAAATAAATAAAAAATCCAGTACCAGGTGTTTTTTGCAAATCCGGGAGGCTCAAATGCGAAGTACCCAAAGCTTAAAGTACCCCAGACCTAATAGGAATGACGTATTTCTCAAGATATTATCGCAGCTTTTGCGACTAGTAAGCGTATTTTCATAAATGTCCGGCCATTCACTTATCTTAAATAATCTTAATCTTTTGATAAGTATGAAATCAAAATAAAAAAAAAAACAAAATAATTTATTCAGTCTAGGCTGTTACAAGCACTTGTGAAAGTCGAGAGCAACGCCATTATTATTATGCTTTTCTCTCTTTTTTTCTCATCTTGGCCGGTTATAATATTCTATACGGTCCTAAACCAAGTATCAAGTGTGATATGTCTGACCTCTTTTTTGGTTATATCATTTTATCCCATGTTTCCAAAAAGTTCCTATCAATGCGACATGTGTTAAATATAGCGGCCTTTTGTAACTCTATATATGTATAATCATTTATTATTATTATTAATAGCAGGTGGAATTATGATCACGTAATTATAACATGTTCCTTATTACCTATATTAAATCTGTGCCCCTAACTATTTTCATCATCAGAGATGTGTGTAAGAGCAATGAACAGCTTAGCAAGTTCGGGCTTGATAACTATGGACGATGCCAGCTGCATAACTTCTACGGACGCTGGTCGACTCATGTCTGTTTATTATTTGGACCTGGAGACGATGAAGTTGATTATGAAGGTATTTCAATATTATTTATTAAATTTAATCAAACGTTTTGGTTTATTTCCCTTTTCAAAAAAGCTTTGTATTTTGACATTTTAATTTAGTCAAACTTAACTTTTTCTGAATATAACAGAAAACTATAACAACCAAAACTACTCGTATTGATTAAATAATGTAAATAATAAAACAAGGAAATTTTAAATACATACTGCTAGAATTATAGTGAGAGTTCTCAAATAATTTCATGGTATTTAAAATATTATTATACGCATATGCAAGCACAATTAGGTATTTGTAATTATATTTTAATATTAATATCTTGTCAAAGCATTCGTTACATAGATATCCTGCTTTACAATGGAATTCATTTATTCAGAAAGCATTGTCAATTTTAAATCATTAAATATATAATTTCATTACAAGGAGGTAACATAACTGCATCAGATAGGTAACTGATATATTTTAATTAAATTGAAAGCTTTTATGTTATAACTTTTATGTTAATTAGTTGCTCTAAAAACGCATGAGGGTGTCAAGTTTTTAAATTGTCGAAATGAAACATTTTATCAATAGCCTTAAAGCTTTGCCATTGTCCAATGACCTTCAATATTTACCAACTAAATTAGATTCTATAATTACCTTCTAGGGGTAGATATTTTTTAAAGCTTCGACCTTTTGTGTTTTTTAATAAAATAAAGAATAAATAATATGCTGCCCAAGAGTTGCAGGAGTGTTTCGTGGGGGAAATTGTAGTTTTTTATCTATTAATTAAAAAGTTTACCTGTTTATTTTAACAAAATAATTATGTTTTCTTAGATACGAGGCGATGAAACTCTGGAACAGCTATTGTCTATTATATGCGAAAGTCACGAACTAGCTGATATGCACCTACGCGTAGATGAACGCAGGTGCCTGAACACACTCAACAGAAACAATACAGCTGCCACCATAAGATATCCAATGAAAGGAAAAATCAATTCGAGGCAAATGAAACTTAACTGGTAAGAGTATGTTGTACAAACATCCATTAAAATTTCCATTAGTTTAAATGCAAGTTTCAACATTCCATTACAGCATAAGTCGTCATTATCATCAGTCTTTTTGCATCCCCACTGTGGATGGTTAAGGAGGATGGGCCATGACCCCTTACGCTAGTCCAAAACAGATTGGAGGGTAATAACTTGCCTTCCGAAGCACGGAATAGCTTGAAATGATAATTTTTTGCTCACCCATATATTAAATACTTACGAAATATATTTTTGTAAAACGGTGGATAAGGATTCTGCCTTTAATGCAATTATTGTACTTACCTAAATTCTGATTTAGGAAGTAGGAAAACATAACGATGACCTATGTAATGGTTCTACTGTTTCTGTCTCTATTAAATAAATATCATTAATCATTATAAGGATACCCGTACATCCATTAGGGTGTACATAATAAGGAAGTATTGAAAAAAAATTAGTTCCCGGAATCAAACTAGATGTCGCTACGGTACGTTCTTGATTTCTCCATGACAACCCTTCCGGTTTTCTTTCATGTTTATAAGTAAATTAGTTTTCAAAACTCAATAAACCTATACATTGTTTACCTAAGTTACGAATTTTCAAATTTCGGTTTTTTAATATGTTAGTTAAAAGGAACGGAAATGACTGTATTGGTCCACTCATTACCTGCAAAAATAAACTTTTTCTAGAGTCGCCATCTAGTGGAAGTGATTTCTAGTGCTTTCGTTTTTTTTTAAATACTTACTCATTGTAGTAAATAAAAAAAATTTGGTAAAGGTTGTATTGTGCAAATTGTCTAAATCACATTCTAAATTTAACATTCCAGCATTATCCAAGCTGTATTGGGCTGTTTGCCCATTCCTGATCCATCCTTGAACCAAGAAGCAATGAAGATTATGAGAATCGCCGCAAGAATTTGCAAATGTAATGACCAACATCACAATATGTACCTATTTAGTTCATTAGGGGGCGTCCATAAATTATGTGAGGTGTTTTTTTAAATTTTCTGTCCCTCCCTCCCCCTCTGGTGAGATATCGTGAGATTTTATTCAACCCCCTCCCCCATCCCCCAATCTCACGTGAGATTTTTCAAAATGCAATTTGATGAGTACTTGCGAGTATTTGCCTTGTTGTAGTATGGAGTACCCAGTATCGAGTATCGCTTTTGAAAGTATCGATACCTACTCGGTATCGAAAGTATCGTTCGAGCCCTACAAATATGGTGGTTTGACATTCAGTCGATGTATAGCGTCGAAATATGAATGAAATTATTTTCTTTCGAACGAATTAGTGAATGATCTTAAGATTAAATCTTAAGCATGTACAATCTAGATTAAATGGACCAAAATAGTATTTTTTTTTGTTTCAATCAGAAAAAAATTGCGTGATATTTGCCGAGACCCCCCCTCTCTCCAACGTAAGATTGGATGAGATTTGCCTCGACCCCCTCCCCCCCTTAAACATCTCACGTAATTTATGGACGCCCCCTTATTAAGTTTAAATTTACTTATCATAGATGAGAGGGGATCGGGCAGCAATTAAGTAAAAAAATAAATTGTATGTGGTTAAGAAGTTCATAAAATTTAAAAAAATATTCGATGAATATTTTTGCTAAGTAACAATTATTTTCAAATCAATTAACAAAAATATAATTTTCCAATATTTGTAGTCTTTGTCTCACGTCAAATGTAAACACCAATCAGAGTGCGTGACGTCATTTGAGTGAATTGGTAGTAAACCTATCTAGGAAAAACGCGGGAAACATTCAAAGTGTAAAATAATCTAGTTATTTGATTTTTAAAAGGTTACAAGGGTCAGATTACTGTTTTATTTATTTTGTGAGTTTATAAGTACTGCAGGTGACTATTCATTTTTTTCACTAAAAACCCTTTTCTTTACCCCACAAATGATGTCACTTCTTCCGTCGCCGTTTTTGCGGTTTTTTAACAGTTAAATTTCAGATATAGGTTTGGGTACATAATAAGGCTTATTTACATAATATACTATATTTTTGTGGAAAAAGCGGCCCTAATAATTAATTTAAAACACTTTAGTAAGTTGACCGGTCCCATATTATAAGTAATAGTGATCTACCCCATACAGCCTATTTATGACCTCATTGCTGGGGAACAGCCTTTCCTATGCATGGAATCGAATCGAAGAACCCACCACGCGGGCCCAATGTGGATTGGCTGGGGCCAACGGCTTAACGTGTTTCTGAAGCACGGATAATTGGTCACCCATTCTATGACCGACTTCCGTATTGCCGACCAAGCAAAATAACCATCGCGCCGTCAAACTCCACATATCAAGGATTTAGTTTATTTTTCAACTCAGGTCTCGTGGCTTACGTCACACGTCATGAGCTGATATCGGAACATAGACAATTCTTCTCAACTGTACTTAATTCTATAACACTCGCTAAATGTGTTGAAGCCCATTTATGGGATAACTCGCCGTATGTGAGCAAACAGCTGAAAGGTATTGGACCAACATTTAGTATGCTCCTAGCGTCCGCGGGGAAAGTTAATTTTTTCCTGTTGGAAGAGAGTCATCCAAGGGACTTGGAGAGAGTAAGTTCAGTATTTAGTTTTCTTTGAATAATTATAAAAACATAGCCTATGTTTTTCACTTACTGTGAAGATTTTACTTATTTGGATATTTACTTATTGTAGATTTTACTATGTTTTTCACTGACTGTGTAGATCTGGGAAAGAATCTATACCCAAAAATTAAATCTTTACTGTTTATAATATACTAGCTCTCCGCCATCGGTTTCGCCTACGTGGTCACAAGGGAACTGTTTACTTGGATATCGATCCATATCATGACACGGATATAATTATAATGACAAATTGATTATTAAAAATACAAACTTCCATTCTCATTTAAATCCTTATATTTGCTGTTTTTTGGATAAATTATAGCCTATGTTCACCGCATATGATGTAGCTTCCCGTAAGTGAAAGAATTTTTAAAATCGGCAGTAGCTTCGAAGCCTATTTGTTGCAAACAAACAATCAAATCTTATCTCTTTATAATATTAGTATAGAAGTGTAGGCAGAAATACTCTATTTTGAAAGTTAGCTTCAACAGTACTGTAAAAAGAGTTAATAGCTATTTAATATAAAGCAACACTGCCTGTCGTTACAATCTCAAATATTAGCCGCTTTGTCTTTCTTTTTAATTAACATGATAATAAATAGGTTATAAAATTACACATCTATGGTCTGATAATAAAACAATAAAAAAATATTTTAGATTTTGAACAAAGGTCCCCCAGCGGGTAATATTTTGAGAAAACAAATAAGCCTTCTACCCAAATACCAAATTGAAGCCATGCCCCTTGATGAGAAGACCGTATCGTTTCGTCTTCTTTTGATAAACCAAACCTATTTGTCTGAAAACATGGATAACCTTACTGCGGGAGATAACCACAAATGCTACGTAGTCGCTGGGGATTCTAATAATCACATCTTGTTGTTTAACACGTTCAAGTAAGTAAAATATATCCGCAGGTGACCGCTTCAAATCTGGGTCCTAGGATGATTTTATATTACAAAATTATTTTATTTCTCGCTACTGAAAAAATCTGTAAATATTGGCCTTAAAATAATTTAGTAGATTGGGAGTAGGTATGAAGATTATTTAGAGGTTTTTAGTTCTATTAAACCATATTTTTCTGTTGTATGTCAAATATTGGTTTTCCTCATTTGGTTCATGAGCATCAAAAACCTTGTTCAGTTATACAAATAGATTTATTAGGGTTTCCATTCTATACAGTTATTGTCCATTATAAAAAGATTTATAAGGGGTTTCCATTCTATAGCTACTCTTCAATAGTATAGGTACTAAAGCGCCTCTTTTTTTTTTCAATACTAATTTTAAAGTCCACATCCTATATATCCTATCCAAGGACTTGTATTTATGCAATAGATTTGCAAAATTATTATACCAATGAATACAAAGTAACCATTTGATTTATTTCCAGGGATAAAGATCTGATTAGCCTTTTTGATGGGGTAATGGTCTACGACATCACAAGAAGACATACTTTTGAGCATAAAATCTTTATCCACTGTATCAGTTCTACATTTGGTAAGTGAGACAAAAAACATTGGTATATTGTAAAGTCTAGATATATCTTATTATTCCACAATATTAATGTTTACTAGCTAACTTCTATAGCAATAACTCTAGCCATAGGATACGATATCTTAGCAATGTTTAGCGCTATTTTGTTTCATTTTACTATTTTCTTTAATTAACGAAGAACGAATGATAAAGAAAGATCGATATGGATTTGAAAGCAGTGTTTCCAACTTAATTATTTATCTCTGATTTGTCCACCGAAAGAAATGTCCAAGTAGTAAAATGAAAAGATATATCGTCGTAATATTCGTTAAGATATCGTATCCTATCATATAGGTAGAGTTATGACTAGATAGCTAGGCAGTCGCACCCCAGGAACTACAAAAGAAGTCTTTTTTTTTATCTTTTCAGTTGGTATTGATGCACATTGTGAATATATGTTTAAGAATTTAATGCCTATGGTTTTGGACCCTCCGTCAATCTATTGCAAGAATAAGGACATAGTACAAAAAGTGACAGAGACTAATAAATCAAATATAAAAGAACGAAAACGAAAAAATTACTCTGATGAATTAATAGAGTCTAAAGAAAAGAAGAAACGGGAAAGTGCTAAAGCAGAAAAATATAGATTACTGAAAGAATCCTATGAAAAAACTCCGAAAGAAATAGAATACGAGGAGAAATCGAAAATTTTACACAATACTCCAGATAAAATTGTCACAACCAATGTACCTAATTTAGTCAATAGAATTTCAGTAAACGAAGATACTTATAACGAGCCCTTTGATGATCTTACATATCTCGAAAGTAATATAAAAGATTTTGACACAGAAAGTGTCGAAAATAAAAAAATTGATAGCATACTTAATGAAATCGAAAATGAAATGAAATTTATTAATCAAGGGGCTCTTAGAGGTGTTAAAAAAGGAACATCATCGAGAAATAACAAACAGACTACAATGAACCCTTACAAAAATAAACAAGGGCATAATTTCATAGACTTGCTCGAAAAAAACATAGAATTTAGTGAAGATGATGAAATGCAAGAAAAGGAAAATGGATTTTCTGAGGCTATCAAAAAGCAAGTAGATAAATATTTACAATCTCGTTATGACCCAGTAGTTTCAGATCCCTTGCTAGCAGATATTGTCAATGAACATGACTTTGAAACATCACAAAGTCCTGAGAGCAAACTGAAATCTCATGATAAAAGTACTGAGCGTGGTAATGTAGAAAACATTATAGACACAATAAATCCAGTAACTGAAAACCAAACTGTGACCAACATATCTGCTGCTGTAAACAAGAATAATGTTGAAGAATTAGTTTGTAACAAAGCTGTAACAGAAAAAACAGCTGAAAAAGTTTTAGACGAAATTCATACCGAGCAATTAACAAATGAAAAATTCTTGAATCGCCAAGAAGAACAATATAGTCGAGTAGAGCTAAATAATAATCAACAAGGAAAATTTGTTTCCCATAACAAAAAGATTCAATTAACTCAAAATAATAACTCAAACTATTTAGCTCTTCTTGAAGGGAAAAATTATAGCACATCTTATAACATCGATGATAACTATAATGAGACTGAGGAATACAAAAGAGCAAACGTTACAGATGATACTATAAAATCAAAGAACAATAAAAATGATCATGAGGCTAATAACCATCATAATATTTTACTAAAGGCGGCTATTACTAATGACGTCGATGAGATAAAATATGATAAAGCCAATTCATTACAAAGTTCACCACTATCTAAAATTAGTAAATATGAACATAACGCGCACTTTAGTAGCTCTTCACACAATCAACCAAGGAAGAAACAGGAAAATAAATATAAATTTTCAACAGAAAAAATTGATATACGGTCAAAATTCAGTAACGAAAACGAAATTCATATTATAAGAAAATTAAGGATAGATATCGGTATTACAGAAACCATTTTAGAAAATAAAGTTCCGTCTGATTGTAGCGCACCTCTCAATCAAGAAAATGTGTATGAAAAAAATAAGGTTAAAAATAAATCACTAATACCTATTGAATATAATGCCAATAGAGAACAATTAAATGATTTTGAACAAGATAAAAATAATGATGTACAAGAACGAAACATAATAAATGAGAACGTCGAAAATATTCAATATTATAAACATGATACGATAACTGACAATATCAAAACAAATAAAAAGGAAACAGCGATGGATGGTAAGACTACCGTTGATTATAATAAATTAAATAATTGCATGAACACAAATACAAATATAGAACGCGTTATAAATAAATATAGCAAAGCACATTTGAATCAAGAAAATGCATATGAAAATAATAAACCATTAATACCTATTGATTATAACGCTAGTGTATATGATATAAATAATGGTACACATGGACGAAATATAACAAATGAGAATAACTTCAAAAATACTGAAAATAATATACACGACAACATAACTGATAATAGTAAAACAATTAAAGAGGAAAGGGTAATGGATGGTATTACTACCAATAATAATAATAATGAACCAAACAATAGCATGAACACAAAAACTAATATAGAAAGCGTTTTAAAGAAATACAGCAAAGTGTTTAGGTTTGTATACTTTATATTTTATAAAAGATGGTATGTATGATGAAAATGTTTTATAATTGACAACAATACTATTTTATTATTTTCTTTCAGCAATAGATATAAAAATGTGAGGACTCCAAGTGTACAAAATTTAAATTACAAACAATCAAAACCAATGAAACCAAATAAACCTTTCAAAATTACTGATATACAAAATTTGAATATCCAGTTGGATAATTTATGCGACTCTCCGAAATCTACAAATACCATAGCAAAGTCGGAAATAGACAAACTAACTATCACCAATAAAAATACACTAGAAGTTAAAAAAGAAAAACCGAATCAACTTTTTACAATGACTGAAATTGAAAATCGAAATGTTCCAAAGAATAATTTCTATGAGTCTTTGAAGTCTACGAGTTATACAACCATAGGTGAAATAGAAAAAGAAGAAATTCAAGATCGAATTGCTGCAAAACCTTTTGAAGAAGATGAATTTGAAGAAGACACGATTAATGATAATATTTTATCTCTTCAGTGTACTACACTAAATGAAGTTGATGATTTAAAAGAAGAATTCGATGTAGACCACGCCATGTTGAATCCTAAAACGTTACTCAAATGTTATGACAGGAACGATTATTATAACACGGATATTATTCCCCCTCCACCTGAATTTTCTGATAACACGTACTCCCCCAAACTTGATGATTATTTGGCTAATAATTGCTTTCAAGAAAACCTATTACACATTAAAAGTGATTGTATAGGACCACAACACGATTTTAGTAAAAATGAGCTTAATGAGCATAAAACAGATTCAATGTATAAAGAAACTGAAACATGGACTTTGGATAACGATGATGATGTTACTGAAGATGATTATTTCAGTTGGAATCATATACATGATTATAATAATGGTAATAATATAGAACGTTATGTATATCCAAATACGGTATCTCTAAAACAAAGACATGGAAAGTTACATCAATTTAAATTTCATCGTAAAAATAAATACAATCCAAAACTCTAGATTAACAATTTTTGTTATTCAAGTAAGTAATTTAACACTAGTTTTTACAATAAATGAAACAGGATTACAGAGATATTTGTTTTATTGTGAAAATACGATTTATTTTGCCAACATTCTTGGTTTGTTTTACTACCTAACAGGGCTAAACCTAGCTAATAACTACATCGTTGCGTTAAATATAAAAACACCTTATGCGTAAAAAAAAATTAATAGCTCAGTAGCGTAGTTGTTACACATTCAGTATTGGACCCGTGTCAGTTAATTAAAATTAAAATTGGAGACATTAATAAATTGATGTTAAAGAATTACCAAGTATAACGCACACATATAAAGGTTACTAAAAATGTATTAGGCGGCTAGCCCTATAACAGAATCAGTGGCGGACTAAGGGGGAGGGAAGGGCGGTCCGCCACAGGCCTCCGGTTCTGAGGGGCCTCCAAATGACTTCAAAAAGTTCCTTGATCTCATTATAAATTCGAGTTGGAGGCCGCGTAGTTAAATAAGTACAGCCTGTAGGCTTGGTTTTAACAAAACGATGACGCAGTTTAAGCTAGAATAAACGCCTTATAGTATAGCAAAGCTTAAAGTTTTATTACATTTTATTTTAAAACGCAACCTTGACCAAACCAGTGCGATGTAGAAATATACTTAACGCCATCTAGTACCTACAGCTCAAAAATAAAATATTTTTTAATTGAATATTTACTATAATTTAAATTAAATACATCATTTTTGTTATAAATTATTTGAAATACACATTTTCATCACTATATAAGGAAATCTTTATAAATAATATTAGATAGATTGATAACAATAACATTTCAAATTGTAAACAATGGTTGCTATGGTAACATTTTGATTTCCCAAAGGAACTTCTAGTTCCATGTTTATGCCTTTAATTGCTAGTTTTCGGGATAAAATTTTTTTTCAATTACCTTACCATAGTCTTAGACTACTCAAATATTTACCAATTTTCATCATTATAGGTCCAAAAACAGAAATTTCATTCAAACACCCTACTGAAGTGGAATTTTACAAAAAAAAAAATCTTAGTACACCACGTTATAAGAGGAATGTATGTTCGAAATTTCAAGTGTCTACATGTAAACTGTATGTAAACTGCAGACATGTTTGTAATATCTGAATTGTATAAGTTGTAGGACTGTCAAGTAAAAATAATATGAAGTTTATTATTATTTTCCATTTTTTGTCAAAATATCTAGAAATTTAGTGCAGTAAAAATATGACGAAGTAATGTGCAGTATCCTGATGAGAAATACGAGTTTTATATATTTTTTGTCATCTAAGTTGTGATGACCCTAATTTGCTTTGTTTAAATTTATTCTTTATCGAATTTGGCTGGAGTATAGAACAAATCTTCGTCTTTATCGAAAGTTTAAATATTTCTTTCGGCTGTTTGGGTAGATTGCCTGAACATTGATGACAGTACGCTCTGCGGAAGCGAAAAATTAACAAATGCTTGAAAAAGTCGTCAATCCTGTTAGGTCCAATCCTGGTAGCTGAGCTCGAGTCTATCTCAGAGCTCTGTCACTCTGTGGATTTTTAAGCATTTTTCAGTATTGTATTGTGAATGTAAAATTGATCAAATATAATAATTTAAATACTCAATCAGAAACCGGGTGTTAGTTTTATAAATACACTAGGCATCAGATTCACAAATTAATTAGATGTATAACTAGATAACAACCTATTCTCGGATCTACTGAATATAAATATCATCAAAATCGGTGAAGCTATTTCGGAGGAGTATGTATGGTAACTAAATCATAAAGCTCAATGTCATTTGAATTAGATCCAAAATAAGAGCAAGATGTAAAATCAAGGAAAGGAATCGCCATCGCTCATTGATTTCGAAATTATTTATTTTAACTAATATAATCACTACATTGACAGACTGCGAAACGCGCAGATATGCAATTAATAAAAGAAATAAAGTAGGACAGGACTTAATACTTATGAACATTATATAGCCCAGGAACTTAATGTACCGCGGATATGTTAACGGAACCATCTCCGGAATGCCAATAATCGTTCCATGTTCAATCCATCCGAATAATCTGAACTAACGTCAGCTCAGTGGCGCCACGGCTAGATTAAAAACGTTTTGGATTGGCTAGATTAAAAAAAAATTGGATTTGGGATAGAGTTCAAAACCAAATGACGATAGAAACAATCATTTTAGCATGTAAAACCAAAATAAATATTTAAAATGACTATTGAAATATAATTTCAAAATTAAATAAAAATCCATTTAAGCAACACCAAAATTTATTGAAGTTTCAATGCGTAAACTGCACAGCAAAAAATCTTAAAATTTACAAAATTCATTTTATAATAAGTAGAGAAGAGGCTAATGTTCATAAAATTGTGTCGTTAATCTACATACATTACGATTATTATAATTACATTTGTTCTTGACGTTTGGTCAGAAGAACAAGTAAAACCAAGACTCACTAAACATAAAACAATTTATGAATAATGGCCCATGGTAGGGCATTAATATTTATTTAGTCGGTCTTGGTTGAACAGAACTCCAATCCTTTACTTCTGTTAGTCTTTTCTAACTTGAACAGTGCGATGTTATACAAGGGCAGGTTGAACTCACACCATTCAATTTAAAAGAAACTCGGTGCGTGCAGGATCCTCGTCATTGCCGACAAAAACCAGCACCGACGACGACACTGAACAGATAGAATTTGTTACAACCTCTATACTTTGCATTAAAATAATGCCCATTTTCACAGGCAAGGGATCCTAACTTCGCAATCACTTATTCCAGTGAAATATCACTCTAACACATAGTTCTCAGCTTCCCTGCAAAGTTTTCCATCATGTATTCAAAAGAAAACCTAAGAGATACTGACATCAAAGTTGATTAAAAAAAATACAATTCAATCCTGCCACTCCACATTATGTCATGTGTCGTCCCATATACCAACCCCTGCACTTTGTAAAAAGTTCTTTCCGAGTTCAAGTTAACTATAATTTCGGAGCTTGTTACAAAGCAAAGGTTAAACAGTTCGTCAACAAGACAATACTAGCTGAGAATACTTTTTCCGTTTAATGCTCAGCATGTAAAAGAATCTTCTAACACACCATATAACTAAACTCTTGTATAAATAGATGCCTGTTTAAAATAAAAGTTGATTGCAATACTTTGATTATGATATACATTTAAAGCTAAGGTCAAGGTTTTGGGTAAGTACACAATAATTTCATTTAAATATTAATGAATGCAAAAAACATGCCTAATAAATAATGCTGAATATTAAACTGGAAATATATAGTCCACACTTTTTTTGTTTATTTTATACATTTTTAATTTTTTTTTGTATTATTTTATATTTTTAAGTAATTTCCACGCTGGGAAAATTACACTAATTCTATGCAAAGTATAGCTTGTATTTGTTATATGACCACTCCATACTTTGTTTCTTTATGTTTACGGGCTATGCAAATTATCCTCGCACATTAGCAGTAATAATACAAGTGAAAAATCACTTGTTAATGTTATTTTTGACAAGAAAATGTAATAAATAAAATAACATATTCAATCTTTTTCCAAATAAACCTATAGGTAAATAAAATATATATACCAAAACAAAATCACAAGTAAGATACTGCAAATATGCCAGGCATAAAGCATAGCCCGAAGTGCTATTGGCACACAGGCAGGATGCCATTACTCAAATGGGAAGTGGTGATAAAGATAAGTTAGGCTCAAAACCTAGCGACATCAACCGCGCAGACCTTAGCGCGATTGCCGATGCTGTTCGCAACACAAATTTATAGGTACAAATTTCAGTTTCACTTAGAAAGCATGGGTGGTGGGCATTGGACGTGAGCGTTGATGTCGCGAGACGTTGAACTATTCACTTCTTTGTCATGATCTTGAGGTATTCGAGGGCGTTGTGAGCCGCGGAGGATTGCGCGTCCTTACTAGTGAGGCCCGCTCCGTAACACACCGCCACTGGCAATGTCGATAGCTGTACCAAACATTGGCTACGACCAGACATAGACTTCTCTTCAATATCCACATAGGTCACTTCAAATGACTGCTCAGAAGCGATCTCTTGCAAGAACTGCACGAAATTGAAGTCCTTATTGTTTAACGGAGTGACCTGTTTAAAAAAAATTAACAAATTATAGAATGAAAACATAATATGAACAACGTCTCTAACTACTTCCACACCCTTTCTTCATGCATTTGGAAGACGACATTGATAGTCATGTAAGATAAAAAAAAACAAATACAACGCCCATGCAATAAGGAATATATTGGAATGTCGTACCTGCAACTTGGCCAGGTTAGGGCCGACAGACTGTTTGAGATGTTTGTGAAACTGCGACACCTTGTGGCTGTGACTGGTAGTCAAAGTGGAGATTTTACTATCTTTCAGGTCGGCATAACGGGCCGCTACTCCGCCCTAGAAATCAAACACGGTTATAAGCAATATGCCGATGCGCAAGTGACCCTTCTGTCCATTCGAGCTCGCTAAAAGCCGACCGAAAGATAGTAAAACACCTGGCCAAGTGCTAATAACCCTTTCATCAGAATGACACAAAAGAGCCACTCGGGGTAACATGGCTGACGTCTAGTAGTGAATGCCAATGTTCGGTGACTACAACCTCGAACTATAGAAAGACAATTTTATACAATAGTTATTATGGATTAGTAATCAATAAATGTAAAATGAAAATTAGTTACGAATTTTAGAGATACGAAACGCATTTTTATAAATTTATTTAATGAATTTATAGTAGAAAAAATTTTAAGATGTATATTATTCAATTAATTGATTTGTTGAAATTAGAGCTAAGAGGAATGGTACAGCAGAAAGATTACCTCTTCATCAGGTTGGAAGGATTCTGGTGGGTTATCTTGCAAAGCTTGCCACATTTTGTAAGCCGCTTGACGCTTAGCAAGTTTTTTTGACTTGCCTGTACCAACTTCGCGTCTCTTCAAGAGTGTGCAAACAATGGTAAACTGACGCTCATGTGGTAATCCTAGAATGTATAATAATATACATACGCTTAGTTGTGCAAGTTTGTATTGAACCCTTAATTCCATTATTAGGAATTATTTGATCATATCATATCATGAGTGTTTAAAGAAAATTATTGTGTCAATATAAATCATTATTTACTTACGCCTATTGACATTGTCATCATTTTCTGCATGATAAGATGGTGGGGGCCAAAAGCGGGACATACATAGCTCTTGCAGCCAGCCAACAGGATTACCCATCAGTTTATCTTCGAAAGATGATACCACAGCACCCCTGTAAAGACAGTGGTTATCTAATAAGATATCAGAAGAGTTAACTGCTGAACTATAGAATCAGCTGCTTTAAAAACATCCCTATTTTATATTACTTAAATAATAATAACATATCTGTAACTTACGCCTCTGGTACATTTCCATTTGTAGATGGATCAGATGGTGCTGCTCCTGTCAATTTATCTAATAAAGCTTTAGCAGCTGAATGTTTAGCTTCTTTCTTTGAACGACCTGTACCCATAGCTGTAAAAAAATAATACAGTTCTATAATTGTTAAGGTTTATCAACTGAGAAAGTAAGAAAAGATGGCGACTTATACATATTATATAAATTCAATTGCATATTAGATTATTTATATTGACCAACCGACCCGTGACCACTGCCGGTGTAACCTGCTCGAAAACGTCAGGAAATATAGGTAGGTGAAAAAACTAACTATCAAAATCTATCACGTTAATACCTGTCTTATACAATCTAATATAATGCAATGCAAAAGTTTATATATTGTTTAAATACTTTTATGATTATTCCAATTCTGAAGGATTTAAACACTACAAAAAGTGTTTTTTTTTTTTTGTGGCGAAGTCAATGTGTATAAATAACATTTTTATTCAACCACTGTGATGACATTGGATGGCAAGAAGCTGCAGTTAAAAATTCCACATTTTGATGAAATTAAAAGATTTTAATGATTTTTGCTTATGACTAATTATACATGTAAGGTAGTTTATTTCCTAAATAACAAACACTGTGACTGCTCCTACCATGTTTTGCTGTCAGACAGCAGAGTGAAGGTTTTTAGATTGAAGACTATATACCAACAACTCTCATTTTCATGTTATTTTCAAAATAAATATGTACTTATTGTAAGTACTTTATTTATTAATTAATACCATAATTTCAAAACACCAAACATTTTAAAATGTATACCTATTCTCTTATAATGCTTTTTTTTTTAATTTCCAAATATATGTGATAAATTAAAATAAGAAATAATCCAATACATCAATTAAATCAAATAAGACCAATAGACCACATATTATTTATATAAATAATTACTTACCAACAAGATCGGCTACTGTAACACGGTAACGGAAAGTTGGTTCATGGATCATGCCCTCAATCTGGACTAACTCGTATTTCGGGACAGTGCCACGTCGTGCTAGTAACTCTTGGAGCACCGATACAGGTGTCTTCATAGGTAGAGACTCCATTTCCTAAAGGATTAAAAAAAAATATCAAACCTCAGGGTACATACTAAAAAATATAATTCTGCAGTGACATGATACTAATAAAGTAACATATAAAAATGTAATATAAAAAGTAACACCACCACCAAATTATTTACAATGATTTAATCATCATCATCAGCCCTTTTACGTCCCCACTGCAGGGGCTCAGGCCTTCCTTATGGATGGTTAAGGAGGATGGGCCATGACCCTCCACGCTGGCCCAATGCGGATTGGAGGGTATTAACGACTGCAAATGCAGCCGGGACCAACGGCTTAACGTGCCTTCCGAAGCACGGAGTAGCTCGAGATAATAATTTTTTGGTCACCCATCCCGTGACCGACCCTTGTGAAAGTTGCTTTACGACTACGATCACGGGCCGCGGCGCTAATCCACTACGCCACCGAGCTACTCACTATAATGATTGATGACAATGATTTAATATGATAAAAAAATCTTAAAAGAAATTTTATATGTACATACTCTTTTTGCAGCTTCATCAAGTGGCAAACGTTCCGAATTGTTTGTTGGTTTTGGTCTATTTTGATAACGACGACGGGGCCCATGTGGAGCATGCTCTCCGTCAGGGCCTGCGCCATGCACTGGCATTCCATGGACCACTCCACCTGGCACCCCGTGTACCACACCTGGGTGAGGGTGGACAACATTGCCATCCATCTGAAGATAAAACAAGTTCATAATATATACTTTTTCATCAATCAATTAGAGCCACAAGTAGGTACTTAGGTACCTCAAAGTTATCTTAGCTTTCCAATGTAAATCAATTAGTTAAAAATTTTAGGGTAACTGCGTATGTATTGAGAATTTATTTAAGTATGTAGGTAGAATAAATAACAACTAATAATTTAAACCTTCAAAAGTGCTTATACTATTGCTCAATGGCTTGATAAACATTTTCAATTAACAAATTTCAACAACAATTTTTGCTTTTTCTCACGGTATGATCGTAAAGATAGTTGAAGGCACTGAACGATTACTTACAAACATGATTGCTCAAACAGCTGATTCAATATTTATATACTCAGGATAATAAAGTACAGCAATGATCGTGGTCAGTTATTCGCTCAATCACTTTGTGGTAGTAACCACAAATATTAGGATAATTTATTAGACACGAAAACGATTGACATGGCGACCGCCGGCCATTACAAGATATCAAAATGGCTGAACCACATGCCGGTTTGACATCCTACGTCGATCTACTAAATTATCATAAAGTATATATAAATTACATGAAACAAGATATTATGAAGAGATCTATCATAATCTTGTGCTACAAGAAGCTGTGTCATACACTTTTAAGTATAATCACCGTTTTTAAAAGAAAACATAGCAAAACTTACCATTTTATATCATAAGTTCAATAAACTGCACTATAAAATATAATTACGTGATCGATTTTTTAAAAAAATAATAGATAAAGGTCAAATAATAGAATATTTGAAGAAACTAAGTTACGTTTCTAACCCTACTACACTTCATTCACCGGTATAGTGATGTGATGACCTCATAAATAATAACATTCCCTATGGCTGATCTTAGGGATGCCGATGTATCAGTAAACAGATACATATCGATATATATCGATATCGAAGATACAGCGATATCGATATCGAAAATACCAATATTATTAAAACCTTATATTTTTGATCAAATTTGCATTCACACTGCTATACTGAAAATTATTCTTAATACAAAATATTAATTATTAATAATTAGTATATACAAAATATAATAATTAGAACAAAATTTTCATCTTTATCGAAAGTTTCAATATTTGTAACAATATTTCTTTCGGCTGTTTGGGTGGATGCCTGGACATTGATGAGAATGCGCTCTGTAGTAGCGAAAAGTAACAAGTGCTTGAAAAATTCGTCGGTCCTGATAGGTCCTGGGTAGCTCAGTGGTTAGAGCAGTCGCCCGGATTGCGAAAGGTCGTGGAATCGATTCCCATCTCAGGGTGCCAGGGACCGAGTGGATTTTTTAAGCATTTTGTATTAAGAATAATCATTAAAAGCTAATATCAAATGAAATTCAAAAGAAAATATATTTCAGCTTAATATTCAACGGCATCTTCGCATCATCTCATGCGATATTAGTATTGATTTATTATTTTTATAGATGGATTACATTTTAGTAGAATAATTCATCTATATCTTACATCTTCATCTTTGCCAAGATTGGCAAAGGTACAAAAACAAGGCATATATAATAAAATTATAATGTATAATAAACTTCCCCTCAGTATCAAAAACATGAATGACGACGAATTCGAAAGAACAATTAATTTTTTTTTTATTCAGCATCCCTTATACTCTTTAAATGAATTTATATCTATGCGTTTGAATGAATATTCATTCCTACATAAAGATGGGTGAGATACGAAATTGACTAGATCTCTATGGTAGATGACTAGATATAATAATCATCAATATTTTATGACATAAAATTATATATAATTTATGTTTGTATAATCTAATTTGTGATGTTGTAATTTAATTGACTGTGATATAATTGATTATTAAGGATCGGAAAAATAACTATTCTGACATTGTTAAGATACTTAATTTATTTGACATTCCTACTTACAATGATTTGACCTGCATGATTTAAACCTTTATTTTTAATTTAATATGCTTATTGTAAAAGACTTGCCGTGTGTAACCTTCTGAGTTATATAGCCAATAAATTATTTGATTTGATTTGATTTACTCCACAATTCCAAAGACCAAATTACATGTGACAAAGATAGATAATAATATCACTCCCCCATGTCATGTACTAAGGATATAGGGTCCGAGACTTCGATATCGATAGATTTAAAACAATTTTGTACTGTTTGCTGGTGGTATTATGTAGTAGTATAAAAAGTACATATAATATAAAAAGTTCTCCGCCCATATTTTATTTATGTACTTTTAAATTTTTCATATTAATTAATATCAGTCAAGTAGTCGTTTTTTTATTACAATTTGTATTTGTTTTTAAAATATTGTGTTATTCCCAATCCAATTACAATCTATATAAAGAGGCCTTCTGAACGTCTTTGTTCAAAAGCAGCATGCATAAAATAACAAGGTAGAGAAACCCTTTGTGTACATCAAAGTCACTCTCCAAAGTAAGATGTCGTATGGACACACTCGAGAAAAGTGACATTTAGGAGAAGACAAAACGCTCTGGAGTTCATCATGCTACGTGTAGTACAGGACCAGTATTATCTATGCATTACACGAAATAAGAACTTAAAAATAAGGCTTCTAAGAAGTAAACTGTCTAAACTGATTCCTAAATTCAGTAGACTCAACTAAAATTATTGGTAGCTTTTTGGTTGAAAACTTGTTTGTAAAAGGATTTTACAAACAAGATTTTTAATATTTACTCATAATCTAATCTATATCGATAAAAATCGAAATATCGGTTACCTCAGCAATTACTATGAATCAAAGGTAATCATAGCATATTTTCTGTTTATAGAATATTTTAAATCAACATTTTTTGGTGAATTTTATCAAAAATCGGGACAAAATTATTAAGAAATCTCATTAAACGGTTTAAGAATCTACTCTGCGGGCGAGGTCGCTAGCGGAAAGCTGGTTTAAAATATTAGGGGTTAAAGTATAAAATTACTTATTTGTGCCAAAAATTAAAATAATTCTTTTTTTTTCTAAGACATAACATAGGTATTTTTTTAATCAAAATGTTTACCTTTAATCGGATTCTAATCGGAATTCATTTATGCCTTTGCGATGGAACTCTGGAGATTTAGATTCGACAAACTTAGTGATGGCATTTTGATCTGTCTTCTGGATTTTTGTCTGTAAAATGACATAAAGTAGTTTTTGTTTTCATTACTTGCGACTGCTAACTTTCTTATACTCGTTCTCAAAGAATAGTATATGCCCGTTCTTCTTATCACCCAAATGACGACTGAGCATGATTTACAAATTGGACAAACAAAAGCTTTTAAGTTTATTTGAATAAAAGACATTTTTACTCGAATTCGATTTTTAATATGGTACGAACAGACACACAAGAAAATGTAACCTATTTCTCACGATTTCCTTTCCGCTTTTTCCTCTTAACACATTAAGAAATTTAATAAAAAATCAAAGATAATAGGTAAATAATATTACTTTTTTTAACCGACTTCAAAATCCAAAAGGAATTATATATTTTTTATTTAAACATGTTCATCGATATTCCCGCGAACTGTTGACCAATTTTTTTCGTTTCAAAATTAATTTGGAGGTGGGCCCATTTAAATTTTATCGAAATTGTATCAGTAGTTTTCCTTTTATAACAAAACAAAATACCCTTTTCATCATATATCACCTAAATATTGAGATATTTAGATACAACACATATCATATTTAATGTAGGTACCTATCATAATCATATGTAACATAAAAAAACAAAAGATTTAAGTGTTTTGATTTCATTCAAAATCCGAAAGGAGGATTTTGTATGTTCAAGGAGTATGTATATTTTTTTTGATCAATTTCTTCTTGAATTGTGAACCAATTTATATCAAACTAGCTGTTCCCCGCGACTTCGCCTGCGTAAATTATAGCCTACGTCCAAAGCCTATTATGTAGCTTCCTGTAGATGAAAGACTTATAAATCGGTCCAATACTTTGGAAGCCTCTCCAATGCAAACAAATAAGCAATCAAATCTTTCCTCTTTATATGCGTATAGAAAAGCTTATGTCGAACAAAAAAACAAAATCTTTTTTCTAAGGCTTTCACTATGTTGAATATTTTTATTCATATAATAATAGATCCATATCAGCTCTATGAATAGGTCGGTGGCATAGTGGATAAGCGCCACGGCCCGCGATCGTTGTTGTTAAGCAACTTTCGCAAAAGTCGGTCACGGGATGGGTGACCGAAAATCTTGAGCTACTCCGTGCGGAAGGCTTGTTAAGCCGTTGGTCCCGGCTGCATTTGCATTCGTATTCAGTCGTTAAACGCTCCAATGCGCTTTGGGCCAGCGAGGAGGATCATGGCCCATACTCCTTAACCATCCATAAGGAAGCCCTGAGCCCCTGCAGTGTGGACCTAAAAGGATTAATGATGATGATGAGATCTATATCTATACTAATATTATAAAAAGGAAATATTTGATTGTTTGTTTGCAACAAATTGGCTCCGAAACTAATTAAAAAAAAATAAAAATTCTTTCAGCTACGGGACGCTATATCATATGATGTGAAAAAATATAGCCTATGGCTAATAATATATAGCCTATAGCTATATTTTATCACCGCATATGATATAGCGTCAAATATAGCCTATGGCTATATTTTTCCCGAATACAGAATATAAAAGTAAATAATGGGATGAAAATTGGAATATAAGTTTATACAGGGAATGAAAACGATTGTTTACTTTTCAATTTGTTTATGTAATTATATTCGTGTCGTCGTGTCATTATATAAATCGATATCAAAATAAACAGTTCTCTAGGTTCATGCGGACGAAGCCGCTGGCGGAAAGATAGTATATACCTACTACTGTTCATCATCAGCCGGAAGACGTCCCCCTTTGAACGCCACGACGGACGACATTGCGCCAGCTGCATCCAGCTGCCGCCCGCGACTCGGACGATGTCGTCCGTCCATCTAGTCGGGGGTCGACCTACGCTGCGTCTTCCGGTTCGTGGTCACCACTCGAGAACCTTTCGTCCCCATCGGGTATCGGTTCGTCGATCGATGTGGCCTGCTGACCGCCACTTCAGCTTACAAACTTTGCGAGCTATGTCGGTCACTCTAGTTCTTTGGCGTATATCCATTTT